CAATTCGACGGCACCGAGCTGGCCGCTAAAGCGATGTCCGAAGTTCTGGCACTTTTGGTCAGCAAGTACCCGGTGATACGGCGATCGGCCGCCACGCAGCTGTATGAAGCGGTACTCAGCTACGTGCCCCTGGACAACCATACCGAACATGTGCTGCAGATGTTGAGCGAGACGAACTGGGACGCGTCGCTGACCGACTTGCAACCGGTTCATGCGGACGTCGAAGCCGTGCTGCGCAGATGTTGCGACTTCTCTGCTGCCTAGCTTCGTGTGACGTGTCGATCATCTTTGCGACCGCCGGTCTGGCTTTGTCATTGCGTTCAGCGTTCGTCGTCAGTTTATGTTCTTTTGTTTACGTTGTTTCGAGTCCTTCGTCGTGAACTGCCTGGTAACTAGCTTTGCACTACGGTCTTTACATTAATATTATTTGAACTCAGCTTCACAGTTGTTGCAGCTAGCATCGGTCTGGAGCGCGTAGTAAGCACGGTACGTGTAGCCATAGACTTTAACCGGACACAACAGGCCACGTTATATCAGTGCTTTGTTGACCAGATTCGCCTATGGCGGCAAATGGTGTGCCTGAACCACATGATGTTGCTGGCAGGTAGATCATGACACTAAGGCGCTAGCAGTCAGCTTCTATAACCTTTAGTGCATTATCATGTACTTCCGTCTTCACAAGATGCGAAACGTTTGCCAGTCCAACATGCATCTGCAATACTCTTGAGCTCTCGCATGCGCTAGTGTGTCAGATCACAACGGATTTAGACGTTAACAAGGAACAACATTAAAGTTCTCAAATGACGTTCACGGATAAGGCGTATCAAAAAAGGAAACGATGAATTACTTCGAACATCATTTACAAAGAACCGTATACTAGTATCGACCAGATGCAAAAAAGGAGGTAATCGCATTTACTCGGCAAAAATTCAGTTTCAATCAACGCGATAAACTTACTAACGAACAAAATAAACACCCTTCGTAATAGGCTCTTACACCTTGCTAAGTTTTTCTATTCGTCGCGGATCTAAGCAGTGCCTCGCAACTTTTTCTCCTGTTCGTAATGCTGAATCAGATCATCAGAAAGTTCGAACTTTGGTTTCACCTCGATTTCGGCGGAGGTTCCCCGAATCGCCAGATTAGGAGAATTAAAATAGACATCTGCATAAAGCAGATCTGCGGGGCACGGGTCGTCTTTCAATGCCTCGGCCGTGGCCTCTTCAACGCTCTTTCGAATCTCTTTGTCAATTTCCTGCAAATAACAAATTTCAACGCAGTGTTTAGCAAACTAGTAGTCATTATTCCATTGCTGATTTAGTTATAAGCAACTGATTGTTTTTCTAAATTTAGCACAGTTTTAAGCTATATTTCAACTGATTTTACTCTAACTTAATCAGAACAGACAGATACAGCAATATGTACAGAAGATGTAAGTGTTCTTTATAAACAAGACAAATATATAAATAAAATGATGTACTTCTAAATAAAGCTGCGTGTTACAAAATATGCGAGATGTCATTCAACAAAAATAGGTCAGATATGAAAATAACATTGGGAGAGAAGAATGGTAAACTTTACTGCGCCTAGCGCTTCGCATGTGTAACCCGGTGCTTGTATATGTAACCCGCACTTGTTATTCATTCCAGTTCTAAATACAGCATAAAACAAGCTTTATTTCTGCACAACGAATACAATTTGGTTAATCGGATAACTGACTAGTACCGAAGTTTCAGCCCGTGTCTCATGGGCATTTCGCAAGGTAGAGAGGTGGATTAGGTTCGTTAGTACTTAACGCTGACAGGGGTTGGTACGTTCAGAACCAGAAGGCGCCGGCATTGGTTAATAATCTGGTTGATAATATTGTTTGCGTTGTACAGATATGAACCGTGTTTTATGCTGTTTTCGGTATGACCACCAACGCAACCAAATACCAAATCTTTAGAAGCATTCCAGTTCTACGCTAAAACAGCACATTATCAGCAACATGAAATACATCTTGTTCAACTAATTGGATTTTCTGAAAGATGATTGATAATATCATCAAACACTAACAGAACGTACAATACACAAGGTTTACTAGCAAAAGTTGCTCTTTTCGCCATGTTTCTTATTCCACGTTGGCTGCTTCTCTTTGCCCTGAGGTTAATATCTCTACAACTACTTAAGCAAAATGCAGTGTTTTCTTTCAGGGTACGTCATCGATACATTACTTTTTACTGTTTTATCACGTATTTTGCTGACTGTGATGCAGTTCATTCGGGCTGCAAGGATGGCTGTGTTAATATGGTGTGTCAGTTTCCTCTGCAGAATAATTTTCTCATACCTACATATGAATGAAGGAGGAATTCAGATATATAACTGACAGAATGTCGGCCAACCTACAGTGGTGGGTGAAATTCCTGACATCATGATATTCAGAATGTATCACTAACCTTCGCGATCAAACACGCGTTTCAATTGAAATCAACGTCCATACCTAAATGGCGAGAACTGCGCAAAGCTTATGCTCCTTTCTCACATAGCGTTGAAAGCGAAAGGCATGACTCTGGTCAGAATTCAGAGCTATAATCATATTGCTGTACGTTAAAGGCACTCAAGTAGCCGGACGGCTAAGTTAGTAAATAAGTGTCTTCATCCCCGCCTCTGTCACCTCTTTCACCACTAACCATCCCATCTCCAGCACGCCCTCCACCTCATCACTCCCATCTCCCTTCCCCCAGGACTGGCAATCCTGGGACAAAAT